ACATTCACTATTCTTTTTTTCAATTTCAAGTGTGAAATAAACAGAAGTCAACACAGACAACTGACCAATATTGCCCATAGCTGTTATTAGGTGTTTGCCAGCTGACCAAACTACAAAAATTATTTTATTCACCCCTATTAGAGAAAATTGTCTGTATAAGTGATCATACGTTACATAAAATGTAAACCATATGGGGAGCTTAATAGGTCAATATATGAGCACTAACTTATAATAACCAATCTGATCTTGCCTTTTATCAGTTTAGTGCAGTCAGAACTAAAAATTGGTTGGTTGCTACAGGGTTCTGTATTTCACACACTTTCTCACACACTGTATTTCACACGCTGCTCTTTGAATTACCCAGACTATATAGTATTTAGCAATTTTACCCAGACAGATAACAAGTCATTATTTAACCTAATAAACTGCATGTGGCAGCACAGACAGACAGAGCAAGTACACATCAAACACAAATAAGGGATTAAAATCTTAAAAGCTGACTCTATAAAGTAGTTTAACAAAATATTAAAAAAACAAACATTTCACTTTCATTTATTTTTTTTAGTGCGACACGTACAGGGAATAGTGTTTCATTTTTGACAGGATGTTGAGTTCAACAACCTCTGTGCACCCAACTCTAGCCTGTTAAACAGAGGGCTAAAGTATGAAAATGTACCTGTACCTTTTTTTGCTGGTGAGTCATAACATCCCGTGTTGTCTGCAAGCGCAAAAAAAAATACTCCCAAGTTGATTTCTCAGACAGCTTTTTTGGCTCTCTCAACCATTAATTTGATCTAAAATAAATCTAGAAGTGAGAAATTGCCTTTGGAAGTAAAATAAATAAATAAATACAGGCAGCATTTCACAACGCCCAACTATTAACAGAGCCTCTTTCCTCTGCAGTGGCCAGACTGCACAAAATTCTGCTTAGAAGAAAAATCATTCCCTGTAACTGCAAGTGTTCTAAAACTCCGAAAGATGAAAAGATTAAAACTAAAAATATAAATTCTAGATAGTGGTAACAGTATATAAGCAAATTAAAACAGAAAGAAAAAAAAATCTAACAAAATAATTGAGAGTCCAGAAGAGGACCTGATAGAAAAATTCAGGGCCCCTCTGCTGATTGGCAGCAGCAGTGGGCGGGTGCAATAGCTAGTTTGCTATAGGCTATTGCAAAGTGAAATAGCCAATAGGAATCTAGCTATGCAATCGTATGCCTTTTTTTTCTTTTCTGACTGACGGTCAGGCCGCGGCTCCCGATGTCAGAAAAGAATAAAAAACCGGTCGCAGGGAAAGGTTTAATCTGCTAGATTGAGCAGATTAAACCTTTCCAGAAAAAAGTGTTTCTCTACCGGGCGGCCGGGAGAGTTGGGATGTGTACTCACCACACCAAGCGGCTCCATCGGGTAACGAAGGGAAGGGGGAGGAGTCCAGTGACGTCACGGACATAGACGTCACCGGACTCCTCCCCCCTTCCCTTCGTTAGCCGACAGCCACTTGGGGAAGGGGGGAGGAGTCTGGTGACGTCGATGTCCGTGACGCCGATGTCCGTGACGTCACTGGATTTCCGACGGAAGACCCGGAAGCCGGCGGAGAGGTGAGTACGGATCAAAAGAACTTTGATCGATCAAAAAAATTAAAGATTAATCAAGGGATTAATCGTTAATTTCCGCAGCCCTACAAATTAGTAAACTAAATGTGAGATTGTAGTCCATCACAGGAGTGAGCTTGGAGCGGTGGGTGCTTTACAACACACACAGGGACCATGGGGAACAAAAGTAGCCACCCTCCAGAAGGAAAGACAGTGTTAGCACCAATTCAGAGATGATTTGAGGATCTACAGCCAAGTGATGCACAAATAAGTTACATTTTTGTTAATAGTTAAGGTACTTGAATGCATTTTTAAGATTTAACTCCTGAGTTTGTCTTTTTTTCAGCCAAGTTACTTGTTTAAATTTGGATCACTGTCTCTAGTTCTTTAAAAGAAAATGTTGGAAAGGAAATACATTTCAAGAGATAAAGATCAGGCATTGTGCAAATAAATGGCCATTCTGCTTTCAGCAGTGATTACACATTTCATTAGATGTCACTTTACCCTTGGGGAGACCAAACGAGACCAAATGATTAACACAACAGTTGCCTATTTTTTTTAGAAGCTGGCAATGGTGGAGGTAGTTTCCTAATAGCTGCCTTTAAATAAGGTATGGCAACTTTAAAATCAGGCAGTTTAAAGTGATATTAATTTTTTTTATAAACCCCATAGGAGACTCACTTGTACAGTTTATTTTTTTCTTCCTATTGCATTTATTTTTATTATCTTGATATACCTTTACAGGTGTCTTCTATGTCTAGTAGGTTGCAAAGGAGACAACCGTGAGTGCACGCTCCCGGACGGGAATTGAACTGTGCTGTGTGCGCCCACACACAGCACTCGACAAGCCACGCTCCTGTTCCTGCCTCCTCACAGTATCTTGACAGGAAGGTGCAGCAGCCTATCGATACCCTGCCCTCAGAGGCTTTTGGATCCCTCCTCTCAACCCGGAACTTCAGGGACACATGCAGAATGTCTGGGAGCCAGCAGCAGTAAACGTGGAGTGTAGGTAAGTGTTTGGAGGTGGGGGCATAGAAAGGTAGCAGGGCATTTTTTTATCTTAATGCAGACAATGTATTAAGGTAAAAAATAAATAGCCTATAGTACTACTTTAAAGTGAACAGGACTTAACCCAGGAAAGGCAAAGCAATTGGTTCGCTTTAATGCCCTCACCGCCTATGTGTACTCACTTTCCTCTTGCCTTGTTAGGCTGCCTAGTGTGAAGGGGAGTACGTAATACTTCTAGATATGGGATGCATGTGGCTCTCTCCCCTCTCTTGCATGATGCAGCACTAAGTGGCTCAGTGACTAATTATCAATCTCTTAAACTATTAGGTAGGAATGGGGAAAGAGTCCTTCACCTAAGTCCTGTTGGCAAACAGAGCCGCAAGTAAAGGGAAATATAAGCTGTGCAGGGAGCCAGCATGAAGCTGAACTCCAGGGAGATATAAAAAATGAACACAATTCTATATCCAATAAGTAGTCATTAAATGTATTTATTTTTAATGTAACCACTGTAAGTGCCTGAACTTGACTTGGCATCAGCTTTTTTTCATTCCCCTATAAGCAAGGAAATGCATTGCATAAAATATTCTGATAGAAGAAAGCAGAGTAGGCAGAGCGATAACCTCATCAATCTGCTACTGTTTCACTGTCCATTCAGCAGGCTGAGGTGGAGAAGACACGACTTTATTCCTTTAACCTGAACTACAGGCAGATAAAAGGAAGATACAAAAAAATGCAGCTCTGTAATCAATAATATGACATTAAAAGTATTTTTTTGTAAATACCTGACCTTACTTAATTTAAAGAACTGTCAAAAACTGCTCTCACAAAAAAACAGAAAAAAATTAAGAGCTGCTCTAAAGAATAGCCAGAAAAAGCCGCTAAACATCTTTTATTTTGGACAACTCCTAAATATTTTTATTTTATGCACAATAGCCATTTTTATTTGCACATTTAACTTTTGGATTTTCCACTCTGCCCCATATTTTTTGTAACCTGATCACTGTACAAGAAATGTGTTCAGTAAAGTAAATCATCTACGTACAATGTATTGAAATTATGTGATGTTCCACAATTGCATATTTCACCTGGAGCTACAAGTGTGTTTCCAATCCCACAATAACACTAAGAAGGGCTTCCCCAGTTGCCCTTAATCCTTTTTTCATTTGTTTACTGCGACTGAATGGAAAGACTGCCAAACATATGGGAGATAAATATGAACACAGCACACCAGCTGCTTGTCTTGCCAGTGGGCATGGCACATAAAGAGCATGTAGAAACAGTACATCACTATTGTTACATTTATAACTGCAGGACAGATTTCACTACCGATCCTCAAAAAAAATGCAATATTAAAAGTAGACTTCAGTCAATACTTGAAAAATGAAGCCTTAACACCCAGCATCAGAAAATTAAACTAGTAAACATGTGCCTGCCATTGAACAGGTTAACATAAGCTGAATGGTTGTTAGTCTATAAGTGATAAAACACTGGTATGCATTACTGCCCAATCAGATAATATTTTAGCTGGATGTGTTTTTTTTAGTGAAGGGGACATCTCACTTCAACTGACCACTGGGAAAACAGTGTAAACCATGGATAGCCAACCTCAGTACTATAGTTGCAGTGCAACTATAAATTCCACCACGCCTCTGCCTCTAAGGGTGCCCACACACCTTACGATAATCGCGGGAAATCCCACGATCGTGCGATTATCGTAAGGTGTGTGGAAGCCGTGCGACCTGCCTGTTGTCTTTTGCTGAACAACAGAATAGCTCCTTTTCGCCACAACATAGGGGGAGGTGTTCTGTA